GGGGGGGGGGGGGGGGGGGGGATATCCCAAAGCAGCATAGTTTTATATCATGCAAGGAAAGCCACACCCCAATAAATACTGAAATTAAAGAACTGGTTATATTGTCCAGATATAGGAAATATTTAATAAATATATGTTAAAAAGTTGCTCTAAAGCATTTTTAGTAAGTCTTGGATTGTAAATAGCTTCATAGAAACAGCTGGTTAAATACATCCATTTTCCACTATACTATTTACTGGTAGCAAACATCATATCATAAAAGTGACTGCCATTGTTACTTGCAGCAATTTTACATTTGTCAAAAACATTACAACATTTAAATCACATACAAGAGTAAAAAAACAGAAACAGAAACAGAATTTTTAGTGCTATGATTAAGTTTTCCTTGTTTTATCTTTAAACACAATTGAAGGTCACCGTTTACAAAATGGTTTTACAAAATTTTGGGAGTGTGCAGTTAAAAAACCAGCATAGCCAATGCACTTCCACAGGCGTGTTCATTGCCACAAATCTTCCGTGCGACCAAATTTGAAGACCAGTCCTCTGTTTAAAACAGAATAAAGGGACATGAGTACATAATGGAGCAAATACCTTGTATTTTAAATACATGATTTCAGGGAGCAAGTTGTAGTATTTGTAAATCCAGTTCCTGGTCCTGCAACAACACTTAAGCAGACAGATTCCAGACACCTACTGCCTTTGCCAGCAGTTTATTCACACATGTCTAGTAACAAGGCTTAAGAAAAAAACCCCACAAACTATTACAATTAAAAACAAGTTAAAATGAACAAACGAAGATGGGTCTTACCCAAAAAAGATGAATGCGTTCTGGAAAAACACAGCTATTCCTGGGTATACAACCGGTTTTTCTAACAAAAGATAAAAGTCTCCATAAACTTTTTGGAAGTAATTTACAGGCATATCCTACCTCTGCCATTTGAGAAAGACTAAACTGTGCCATGCCAGCAAAGATAACCAGTTTCATTCAAATAGGGACATCTGGAGTCTGTGCACCGTGCAGCAGTGATAAGGAGCTGAGTTTGAGAGAGGGGCTGGTTACAAGGTAGGATTCCTGACTAGCTACAGGGCTGAAATGACACCAAACTCTTGGTGCTGTTGCCTCTGCGTGACAAATCCGCCTAAGCCAGATTGTTCTCGCACAGAACTGAGCACGAGGCAGCTCACAGAGCCCTTTTCATTCTCTAGCACGGCATTCCCCTCTGATCTGCGTTCCTCAGTTGTGTGACACAGAAGCATAAGCCTTACCTAAGCGGCTTCTGTGCCCTCACAATCCTTTAGCCTTCCAAGTAAAAGAAGCTTCTCCTGTTCTCTAACCCAAAATGTGCATCTCAAATGCAATTCTCAGGCTATAATTATCACATGGGATTACATATCCTGTTTGGAATGCATGTATGTGTCAGTATAGATACATACATATTCATATATAATGACAATATGTAAAATGGCAGTGCACATTAGTAGCGCTACCATGCAACTAATGCACTTAGTTTCCTCAAAAATCACCCGTGAATTGAGTAAGGCCAAAGCTGATAAGAATGAAAATTAAAACCACCAGCGTGCCCTGACTGGCGTGACATTCACTTGAGCTCCAGGTACAGGCAGTAGCTTTACATTTACTGAAGTGACCGAACTTCTTTTTGAAAACCAGAGTAATACGCTGCAGCTTTCTTGCCTTTCTCAAGACTTGCCTTCACAAAAAGTTACCGTGGTACATATTAAGGTATAAATTTAAATAGGCATTTTGCATTAGTTTTTCCCTTTTGCTAATTTAGCGCAGAGGCTTTGGGAGCAATATGGAGGAAATCAGTAAATTTTACACTAGGAATTAGTGCCCACCCAGGGAATTATTCCCACATAACCGCAGCAGTTTAATTATATCAGTACAGCTCCCAGTTGACCAAGACCTGGGATTCTAGTGAGGAGAGTTGGAAGTTTATGACTTAGAAGTAGACAAAACCCACCCCAATAATAGGAGTGTAGAATAGTGGTGTGTAGGGAACCAAAATATTAAAACTGGGCCTGCCTAGAAATTAAGTTCTAAAATTGAATAGTCTTTTTAAATACTTTAAACCTTCAAAAATGGATCAGGTCACATGCCATGCTGTATCTTACCTTTAACAACGTAGCCTCCAAACAGGATCCACATGGAAGCAATCAGAGATCCAAAAGCCATCATAAAACCAATGAACAGCCAGATCCGAGCACCTTGAAAAAGATGTAGGGATGTTTTGTGCCCGTGTTTCAGAGCACCTTCTGTTCCACACCAGAGCTACGCACAGACACACAACCCGCACACTACTACAGCTCTTACAACTGCCAAGACAATGGCTTCACAGATCTACTGCTAGGCAGTACCTACACCGCCGTACCTGTTTGTCCCAGGCAGCCCTCGCTGTAACTGTCACCCCGCACCTGGCCGTTCGACACCGCGTTGATCCTGTACGAGCAAAACGGGATAAAACCCGTAAATACAGGTAAAACAAGAAGTAAGTGTTTACAAAACAGGAGGAGAAATTTCTCAGAAACACAGTTAAAAATGATGATGTTGTGGGTTTTCAGGTTTTTTTTTAAAGGGAGACAAAGCTAATACTTAAAAAGCATTCCTCCAAAAACTAATAAGACTTAGACCTGTACTACACAATTTTTTTAAATGGTTCCTTACTATAAACATCAACAAATATAAGAAAGACACGACAGATACTCAGATAGCAACTTGATTTGTTAGTCTTAGTTACTTCTCTATTTAAAGACTGTGTTCTTTTATTTGAATAAAATAAGTTCTAGGAGCATGTAGCTCATCAAAAACTTATACTTACATTAGGAATGCAATAGTGGCTATAACCCCACAAGCATGGTATGAATGGTTGAAGTCTTCCACTTCGGGATATTTTACAGCTGCATCTATGATTATCCACCAACCTGTAAAAAACTATTAAAAAAGAAGAAAAAGCACAATAGCTTAAAATATGGATGCAAGCCTTTTAATACGATATAAGGTTACTCTAGGAAAAGTAACATTAACATATAAAATAATTCTTACAGTCTCCAATCTAGAGTAAACTGATAGCATAACTAGTTTTGTTATCAATTTAGGAACAAGGCTAAACACTAAGCCAGAGGTTTACCTTTTCCAATAGCTGTTACATGAGCAGAAGCTGTGAAACTTAAAACACGTGGATGCAAGCACCCAGAACAAATTTTGTGGTTGACTCTGCTGCTAAGTACAAGACAACGAATCCCTTCTCTTCCTTTAACTCCCAAACAGCTAACAATTTTTAGCTCATCGTCAGCTGACTACATCTAGAAAGCCTGAAAGTAGCCCGAGGGAAGCTGCACCTACCAGCACTCCTGCAGCAACAGAAGCGATCGTGTTTCGTTTCTCTCCCCAGTCAACACACTCCGAGCACCTCAAGCTCTCCAGAAAACCTGACATTTTTCAGCGCTCCGAAGAACTGAAGCAAAAGGGACACTTAATTCCAAGAAAAAACCCATCAGACGCCAAGGGCTGGCATGCAGCAATGCGCGGCGTGCAAGGGAAGTACCTAAACGCCCCCCCAGGCAGAGCCCCTTCCCAAGGGACGGCCGAGCAGAGCAGAACAGCCACCAACACCCCCCCGGGACACCGCCGGAGAGGCGACGGCCTCAGAGCGGAGGCGAGAAGGCGCCGGTCAGCGCCTCAAGGGGGATCCCCACCGCCCGCGCGAGGCCGGGGACATCCAGCGCGGCTACGGCCACCAGCGAGAGTAGAAGGCGGCGGCCAAGCGTCCCGTCCTGCCCAGGGAGGGCTCCCGCCCCGAAGCGGCGCCTCACAGCGCATCCCCGCTTACCTGAGGGCGGGGAAGAACCGTCGGCCGGCGACTGCCCGGCGCGCTCACTGCGCATGCGCGGCAGCTCAGCGGAGGCGCCGCGGGAGCGTCATGAGAGCGGGGCGGGCGCGCGCAGGCGCACTGAGAGCCCGCCGGGCCCC